AACAAGCCAAACAGAGAAAGACAGGTATCATATGATCTCACTTATTTGTAGAATATAATGAACATAACAGTCTGAAGAACAGGGTAGTCCCAGAGACATGGAAGTAGGGTACAGACTGACAATCCCCAGAAGAGGGGCTGAGGAGGAGAGATAAACCACAGAACTTATATGCTTGTGTGCATGACCAATGGACATGGACAACAAAGCTGGGGACAGGGCAGGGAGGAAGGGGGAGGTGAGTGTCAATGGGGGAAAAAGAAACATCTGTAACAACAAAAAAGAAATCGATAGCATTCTTATGCACCAATAATGAATTCACAGAAAGAGAAACTAAAAAGCCATTCCCATTTATCATTGCAACAAAAACTGTAGATACCAAGGAATAAACTTAACCAAAGAAATAAAGGATTTATTTGCAGAAAACTGCAGTACATTGAGAAAAGAAATACAGTAGGCCCTCGTTTATCACAGTTAATCAGTTCTGGTCTCTACCGCCATAAATGAATTTCCACGAAGTAGGATTCTTTATAAATCAAAAATTTTCACAGAGCATAGAAAACTTGTTAATGACATTCTGAATATATTTTCTAACATTATTAAAGCCCTCTAGACATGAAATAGCACCCTTTAGTCATCCTTACCCTCATATTACTCAATATAGTAGACAAAATAAGACATATTAGATGTTACAAATATATCATTATTATTGTACATTTAATTACACACACAATTCTTGCACACAACCACTAACCTATGAAAATAGTGCAACTTGTTCGATGATGAAGCGATGAAGATGAAGAGATGTACTGCACCGCAAAGAAGAGCACAGTTACTGCTGCTCTGCAGGCACGACCTCAGTAGGAGAGTCTTCAGGTGGTGCAGTATCCTCAGCAGGTGCATCGTCGTATTCTGCTGAAGGAGCACTAGGAGTAGGCAGTGGGTTTCTGGGTGCGCGGCTGAAGAACATTGTGATAGGCAGTTGCTGGCGCTGTCTTTTCATATGCCTGAGGAGGCTTTGGTAGGGTTCTATTGCTCCATCAAGTGCATTCCGGAACCGCAATGCACGCATCATTTGTGGGTCCCATTCACCAGTCATGCCCTGTACTTCCTTAATAGTTCTCATGACTTGCGAGAGACACTCAGGTGTAAGGCCAACGTCCTCCTCCTGACCCCCAGGAACTTCTGGCTGCTTTTCCTCCTCCTCACTCACAGACTTAGTCATCTCCACCAGATCCTTGTCAGTTAAGAGATCTGAATATGTCTCCAGCAGCTCATCCATGTCATTGCAGGTCATATCCATGAAACCTCCTCCCAGCATCCGGGCTAGCCTAACTGCCTTATCCACTGCCGAGTTGCTTATATCCGCTGGGGTGAATCCTCTGTAGTCATGGACACTTTAAGGCCACAACATCTTTCAGCTGGCCTTCATGGTCTCTGTATTTACGTCCTTCAACGCAGCCTGGATATTCTTCAGACAGGTCGCAATGGTATACTGCTGCCAGTACTCCTTCAGCAAGAAGTTCTCCTCAAGGTCCGTGCCTTCAACGAGGTGCTGCAGGGTGTTTCACGTGTAGAGGGCCTTGAGCGCGCGAATAACGCTTTGATCCGTGGGCTGGGTCAGCGAAGTGGTGTTGGGAGGAAGGATCTTGATCCACACACTGTCGTAGGATAGGTCTCACACATGACCTCTGGCATTGTCCATGAGGAGAAGGACATTAAACTCGAGTCCCTTCTCTGCGAGATACAGCTGACTTGGAGGATGAAGCACTCATGGACCCAGTCCGATGACAGCTCCTTTGTGATCCAGCCCTTGTCGTTGTGCATCCAGTGCACTGCCAGCAGGTTCTTGTTTTTATTCTTCCAGGCCATTGGGTTCTTGGCCTTGTAGATAAGGGCAGGCATGAGCACAAATCCCTCAGCATTTCCACACATAACGATAGTCACACAATCCTAATATGCCTTAAAACCATGGGCCTTGGCCTCATCCTTGAAAATGAACGTCTGGGAAGGCATTATTTTCCAGAACAGCCCTGTTTCGTCCATATTGAACATTTGTTCTGGATGATACTTGCCCTCCTCAAGGATCTTCTGGAACGTGTTGTTCACATAGTCAGCACAGGCAGCTTCTCCATGGAGAACAACACTCTTCAGATGATACCTCTTCTGGAACTTCTCGAACCAACCCTTGCTCACTGTGAAATCCATGAACGTTGCAGAAGAGTGTCCTGGTTGAGGTTCGTCTGCCATAAAGTGTTGATAGAGCTGCCTCGTCTTCTCCTGGTGACCAGTGAATCCATGGAATGGTTTTCTTGTGGCTGTCGCTGATCCAAACGGTTAGGGAAGACTCCGTTTTCACTATGAACTTATTACAACTTGTCATTATGTGCTTTGCTTCCTTGTTGAAAAAGACAGTAGCCATTGCACGGATTTTTTCCATCTTTACGGATGGAGTGAACGGTAGACTCATTCAAGTCGTAATGGCGGGCAACCTCCATGATTTTCTTGCCATCTTTGGTCATATCCAAGAGTTTCACCTTCTCCTGGATGGCAAGCATCTTCCTCCGGTGCTTAGTTTCATCGTCAGAAGGCTTAGAAGCAGCAGCACGTTTAGGAGCCATTGTGGGGCTTAGATAAAAGTTCTCAGAAATTGAAAACACTTACAAGAGCAAAGATGCTTCTGATGCGTAGCCATGTACAAGTGTATATGAGAGAAACGAACTTGCATGAGGCTGAGCCAATCAGTGGTCAGGATAGGAAGAGGATAGGATAGCCCATCAGTGAATATTGGCTTGGTTTCACTACACCTGATATTTTGGAAAAAAGTTATTGCCCACACACAAGGAGTGGTCGAGCAGTTGCACCTGGCGTTGAAGGATTTGTGGGGTGCTCGAATACAGAGGCCTACAGTCCATACGTGCAGTGATTTTAATTGTAATGTAATACAGGGTGTATAATTGACTCAGACAACCAAGCGCGCACTGTATCATTTTCACTATCTCGATCAACTTTTTAATGAATATATTTGAAAAAACCCACAATAGAGTGAAGCTGTGAAAGTCAAAGCGTGAAGTGGCAAGGGACGAACTGTAGAAGAAAATATAAAAAAGTGGAAGCAGCCCTGGCCGGTTTGGCTCAGCGGTTAGAGCGTCGGCCTGCGGTACAGAGAGACCCGGGTTCGGTTCCCGCTAAGGGCATGTACCTCGGTTGCAGTTTGTCCCCGGCCCTGGTTGGTCATGCGGGTGGCAGCCACTCGATGTGTCCCTTTCACATCGATGTTTCCCTCTCTCTCTCTTCCTCTCTCTCCCTCCCACTCTATCTGAACAAAAAATGGAAAAATGTCCTCGAGTGAGGATAAAAAAAAAAAGTGGAAGCATATACCTTGTTCATGAATTGGAAGAATTAACATCATTAAAATGTCCATACTACCCAAAGCAATCTATATATTCAATGCAATCTCCATTAAAATACCAATGACATATTTCACAGAACTAGAACAAATACTCCCAACAGTTTATATGGAACCAAAAAAGGCCCCAAATAACCACAGCAATACTGAAAAAGAAGAACAAAGTGGAAGGGATCAAATACCAGATTTCAGGTTATACTACAAAGCCATTGTTATGAAAACAGCTTGGTACTGGCACAAGAACAGGCATATAGATCAGTGGAACAGAACAGAGAACCCAGAAATTGATCCAAGACATTATACTCAATTAATATTTGACAAAAATGGCAAGAACATACAATGGAGTAAAGACAACCTCTTTAATAAATGGTGTTGGGAAAATTGGACAGCTACATGCAAAACAAATGAAACTAGACCATCAACTTATACCATACACAAGAATAAACTCAAAATGGATAAAAGACTTAAATGTAACCCCTGAAACCATAAAAATTCTAGAAGGAAATGTAGGCAGAAAAGCCTCAGAGATCACACATAGCAGAATTTTCACTGATACATCTCCTAGGGTAAGAGAAACAAAGGAAAAAATTAATACGTGAGACTACATCTGCACAGCAAAGAGCCTGGCATCAAAATGAAAAGGGAACCCACTCTTTGGGAGAAAATATTTGCCAACAATACATCGGATAAGGGGTTAATATCCAAAATATAGAGAGTACTCATACAGCTCAACGAAAGGAAGACAATGAACCCAATTAAAAAATGGGCAGAGGAACTAAATAGACACCTGTCCAAACAGGAAATACAGATGGCCAAGAGACATATGAAGAAATGCTCAACATCACTAATCATCAGAGAGATGCAAATTAAAATGACTCTGAGGTATCACCTCACACCTGTCAGAATGGCCACCATCAACAAATCATCAAACAAGTGTTGGCGAGGGTGTGGAGAAAAGGGGACTCTAGTGCACTGCTGGTGGGAATGCAGACTGGTGCAGCCATTATGGAAAACAATATGGTGTTTCCTCAAAAAATTAAAAGTGGGACTGCCATTTGACCCAGTGATCCCACTTCTAGGAATATACCCTAAGAAGCCTGAAACACCAATCAGAAAGAATATATGTACCCAATGGAATACTATGCAGCTGTAAGAAAGAAAGATCTTTTATCCTTTGAGACGACATGGAGGGAATGGAGAGTGTTATGCTAAGTGAAATAAGCCAGTCAGAGAAAAACAAGTACCACACAATCTCGCTAATTTGTGGAACATGATGAACAAAATGAGCTGTTGACCAGACGAGATCCAGAATCATGGAAGTAGGGAGCAGGCTGACAACCTCAGAGGGATGGGGGTGGAAGGGATGGGAGGAGATAAACCGAAGAACGTATATGTATATATGCACAACCAATCTACACGGACATTAGGCTGAGGAAGGCAGGAGGGGGGTGGGGGCAGGAGGGAGGGGGTCAATGGGGTAAAAGGGGGGACATCTGTAATACTTTCAACAATTAAAAAAAGGGAAATTTTTTTCCTGTTTAGAAAATCATGTCCTCAGTGACTTACGGAGGTGTGTTTGGGTTTATTTTTGCAGGGCCACCATCCAACTCTGGGGGAACATCCAAAGTTCACCAACTATTCTTTTGATGTGGAAGAATTTATGTACCTTGTCCTGCAGGCTGCAGACCACGTATCGCAACACCCAAAGTGGCCTCTTAAGAAACAGCATGATGAGCTGTGACTGTGCTGAGTCTGTCTGCAGAAAGGGGCTGTTTGAACTCTCCACCACCCCCTCCCAGTGCAGTCAGTAAACAGCGGGTGTTTCTCAGCCCCCAGTGATCTGTTCTCTGTCAAAACACGTCTTCAGGATATTACTTTTGGGTTTTATACCGTTTCGGGTTTTTGCATCATGGCTATTTATCAAGCTACTCCTTTTGCACTGAAAACTTTACTTTTTGTAGTTAAAAAACTGGGCGTAGGCTCGCTGAGTGATTGAGATTTCTTCTTAGAGATACCAAAGGACTCAACGTTCTCAGCTTTAGAATTTGTAAATGTTTCTGTAGAATACAATGGGATTGTTCATTCTAGAGGCTTCCAATTGGTTATGATTGAGTAAATTGACAATGCTTTTATTTGTCATAATTTATTCATAGCACTGTTTGTGGTAGGAAAAGAAAACATGCACCATACACACAAACACACACACACACACACACACTCATCCACTCACCACCCCCTACACACCTATACCCCCTCCATACTCACACACACACTCATATGCGCACACACACTCACACCCATCCCCACCACACACACACCCATCTACCCCCCCCACACACACACACAGACACACAGGTGCAATTCTCAGTACCAGGCTCTAGGCCCAACTTACAGATCAGTGTTATAATAAACAGATCAGTTTCCCTCTATCAGAGTCCGAACTAACTGCACTGAATTCTCTGCTGCATCTTTGCAGTCGATTGCAGGTCACAGGCATCAAGAGCCTGAATGAATCATGCTGCTGTGTTCATTTATATTCACACATTTCATATGTAAAGCATGTTTCCCCACAATGCACTGTATATGATACAGACAAACACAACCTTCATTAGTACTGTGTGTCGCTTCCCGCGGGCTTGCGCTGGCTCCTGACCTGGGAGGGCCTTGCGGTCAGTCCTGGTCTCCATAGTGTGCACCTGCAGCTCAGTGCTGTGTGCGCCCCCTTCAGGAGGCAGGCCGCCTCTGCCCACCTCAGAGTAGCCACAGGAAGTCTCTCCCTATAGAAAGAGGGGAGCTTTATCCATTTGAAAATGAAAAAGCTGTAAGAAAGTGCCATTGATTGGAAAGCGTATCTGAAATGCAGCCCACTCTTGGAATGAGATTCATTTCTTACTGTTTATCAACTTTCTATTTTGCAGTAAAAAATCATGGATTTATTTTACTGAAAAATGTGATGTTTGTATTTTATTAACACTTAACTTATCTAATTTAGAGACTGGTGACTTCTATTTGTCAAAGTCTACTTTTAAAAATCAGCAGATTAAGCAGAGCTAAGAATTTTTGTACATTGTAAAGCTATTTAAAAAAATAGAATAATGTGTATCAGAGAAGTGACCTGAGAAACCTTACATATTTATTCTCTGGACCTTTACAGAACAAGTTTGCTGCCCCGGCTTTAAAGGGTTATGAACAGTCTGCTAGAGTTTAGGAATATTTATTAAAATATCTGCAAAAAAATAGTGAATGGCTGTACGATAGCTTTGATGTGGATCTTGAAATTGTGTAGAAAGAATGACAAATGTGGATTTTTAACTGAGTGTAATTGCTACTGTTGTGTGCCGGAACCCCGGGCCCCCGGAAAGCAGCTCACACGAAGTGCACTTTTAGTCAGAGATGCAAACATCTGAAAATTATGTTCTTACCTCATTTTAAGAAGCGTGTGGAAATGTGATTCTGTTTACTTGCTAGTTATAGACAAATGAGCATTTCAGAAATTGAGAACAATTTTATGATAAAACTATTATATTTGAATATTTTGCATTTAAAGAGAGAATATGTTTTATATAACAAAGTACCTTTAACAGTTATGGAATTAACTTTTCTCAAACTTTTTGGTAGCAAAGAAGCCTTCAAATGTTATAACTTACAATGCGAAGACTGCTCTTGTTATTAAGTCTTTAGAAGAGATGCTTTTCATAGTTTGTACTTTTGGGGTATGGCTTTGAAATAAATCTTATTTTATATTTCAACACCAGACCATTTTCAAGGTTTTCTGTGTCTGACTGTTATATGATTACTTTTTGGCAATCTGGCAGCTCTGGATTATAAAAATTAGGTCGCTCACTGATGAAGAATTTGTTTTAAATGAAAATTACACTTTACATTTATTTAGCAGTTTTTTAGGTGATGCTGTCACAAATGTATTGCAAATTCTTACAAAAATGACAAAAGAATTATTCCCATGTTCCTTTAGAAGAAAAGCAGGTGCTGTTTAAGGGAGTTCCCTCAAGCTCACGGGTTGTCTGGGTCCACCCGTTTCCTTTCATTCACTCACGTGCTCACTCAGCACAGACTGAGCAGCTACTGTGTACCAGTCACGGGTCTAGGTTTGGGGGATGCAGCAGGGAAAAGAACAGGAATGAAGCCCTTGCTCTCATGGAACTTGCATTCTGAAGGAGCCTAAATAAATAAAATGTACTATGCAAGGCTGAGACATGCTGTGGAGAAAACTCAAGCAGGAACGTGGGATGTGGAGCTGCGGGGTAGGTGCAGTTTGATGGGCTTAGGTGGGGGATCAGGGAAGTAAGTCCTCATGGAGGGAACATTTGAGACAAGATTTGAAGCTGGTGAGGGAGGAAGCAATGGAGCTAACTGGGCAAAGTGCATTCCAGGAAAACGGAAGAGTACAAGCAAAGGCCCTGGGGCAGGAGCATGCCTGGCATGTTTGAGGAATAGCAAGGAGTCAGTGCAGCTGGAGGGATGGATGGGCAGAGGAGTAGGAGGTGAGGTCCAAAAGGTCGTGGGTCTAGGGTGCCCGTGGCGAGGTTTTGATTTTGGTGAGCCGGGAATCCTTAGAGACATCTGAACAAAGGAGTGCTAACCTCACTCACTCTGAACAGGGCACTCCAGATGTTATGTTGGGAGTAACTGTAGAAGGATGTCTTTGGTCATGTTTCTGGAAAATCATCTCCGGGATGGAGTTTTATATGCAGGTTTATCGGAGGAGGTGCCCATGGTCAACACCTGTGAGTTCGTCGGGGCCCTGGCTTTGGCCGCGGGAGGGATGGAGCTGCGGTGCAGTAGCAGGGAGGCCTCGCAGGGGGATGTGGAGCGGGTGGTCCTTCACAGGGTCCCGAAATGAGGCAGGAGATACCCGTATCAATGCATCTTTGAACAGAGCCATCCCCAGGGAGGGCTGTAACCTCGGGCAGACAGCCCTCCCCTGAGGGCCAGTGCTGCAGAGGAGCTCAGCTGTGGGCCGTCAGCGCCACATCCCAGCCATCGGGGACAGAGGATCCTGGTGGCCACTGCAGTGCCCACAGGGCAGGGAGGGCCTTTGGCGTGTGCGTCTCCGCCCGCAGCCTGCCTCCTGAGATAAAGGCTCACCAGGGCCAGGTGAGCTTGCTTCACAGACCCGCAGCGAACGGCATCAGGGCGGGAGCCTTCTGCCAAGGGCCCTTTGGATATTTGCAACATCATTCGTGGGCCATACAAAACTGTCAACTTCAAAATTACCTGCCATATTTGGTCATGGAGGCCGGACATTCCCACCACTACTAGGTAACTCTATAGGCTTACTTTTTACTTCAGCTAATTTTATTTGATATGCTTTTCATTTTCCCCAAGGAATAAAGTCTCCTAGGAGTTCTGCAAGGTTACCATTCCTGGTGTATTCTGTACCTCTGGCCATGTGGGGCCCTGTAATTCTATGGGTTTAGGTTATAATTATATACAAGAAATTTTATGGGCCAACAACCGGTTACTTTTCCTCCTAGCCCATCTACCTGTACTAGGATGTTATTTTATGTGTTTTAACATCTTGTTTTAAAAGAGTTATCTGTGATCATGTATCAATTAAAAATTCTGTAATTTTATCCCCTTACCTACTTGTATTTTTAGCTTGATAAATGGCGTATTTTCATGCCCCGATTTCTTCTCTGCCTCCAGGATGCCCATTATTTGATGTATTGAAAAATTTTTCAGTTAATTATCTAACCCTGTCTATTCTAGTGTGTTTCCTCCTGCTTAGTTGTTTTAAATGGTCAAAAACATTTGTTTTGGTTGTGTGGTTTGAAACCCAGTGTGTCTGATGGTTTGATGAACATCCTTTGCTAAAGAAAGGATTTTTTTGTTGCTATGTGATGTTGTTTGTTCTGTAAGTAGCATTAAACGTAACTTTTGGTTGTCCATTCAGATCATTTTCTAGGTTTAAGATATTTAGTATGTCTTCTCCTGTTCATGCCTGTGCAATGGATGCATGTACAATGTTCTCTTCCCTTAAGGGGCTTTCTTAAACCCTGGCACAACTGAACCTGCAGGGGTGGTGGGTTAGCCCTGAGCGGCCATGAACAACTGACAAAGCGGTCAGTTCCCCTCTGTCTGCATGGCCTACTCACCTGTCCATCTTATGGGATGACCATGTGCTGTCCCATCTCCTGTCGGGGGTGCGCCGTCCGCGCTCCGGCTCTCCAGTGCCTTCACCGGGAGGCTTGTTCTGGATACTGAGCAGGAAGCCTCAGCAGGTCTGGGTCTTGCCAGTGCCGTTGAGTCAGGCCTGAACGCGCCTCATTCCTGTTCCTGCCAGCAGGCAATCAGCATCTCATTTCCTTGCAAATCTGCTGTCACTGAAACTCTTGTCTCCTGTGTCCTCTGCCTTCTAGGGATTCCACTGGCTGGCCAGGGCCATGGTTTCAGTGAATAGGTTTCCTAGTCACTACTGGTCTGCATTGCTATCTGTCATCAAATAGATGATCACAGTCCCCTGGATCCTCGGGGTGTGGGTTTGGATATTATACCTTCATCTCTTTCTCTGAAGTTGATGCCAGCTGACTTGCTTCTCTGTGTAACCCTCCTGGCCAGGTTTTCCTCCCCGTCTGCACCCCCCTGTGTAGGGTGTGAACAGTGGTGCCCACACTTTCTGTTTATCTGCCCTACTCACCAGGGTTCTGCATTTCTGGGTAAGGTGCGGGCCATCTGTACACCATCTCATGCTGGTACGGCAGTTTCTGATGAACCTGCACCTGTCTCATACCAGGGGTCCCCACTGCTAACACACTCTCAGGGCTGCTTTTCAAAGTCCCTTTCCCGGCGCTAGCAATTTTGAGCTATCTTGGTTGCAATCTCAATAGTAAATTCAAGTCCCCGCTTAACCAGCAGGAGACATTAATGCCATCAGTCAAGCTTGTCTCCTTCCTTTTGGCCAAATCATGTATTTGTTCTGCCAGGCAGCTGCACGTTGGCGGACAGGCTCCTTTTGCTCCTTGGTGTTGGGCTTTTACACTTAAAAATGTCAGGTTAAGTTCATTTAGAATTTAGAGTTTCAACCACAGACTATGCCAACCATCTGAAGCACTCAGGCTGTGACTGCAGTCAAAGTCCTGACCCCCAGATAGTATCAGGACAGCCTGATCAAGGCCGGGACCCTAGGTGGTCACTGGGCCCTCTCGGTCCCTGACACC